TGTGCCCTGCTCCTGCCCTCTGCCCTCTCTGGCTGTGGTCCCTCTGCCTTTGCCTCTGCTACAGGGACTCTGGGACCTCTGGGGGCCCTGCCAGGGAGGAGGCAGCCTCAGGGAATCTGTGTCCCTCACTTCTCCTCCCTCCCTTCCTGCCAGGGGCGAGTCAATTACCCGAGGTTCCTCAAGGGCTTGAACAGAGGTGAATGCTCTGTAATTCTGGGATTTGGGTCCTTGGCTACTGTTGTTGACAGGAGAGTTGCCCTGACATGAACCCTTAGGGCTGAAGAGGCTGTGGACACACACCTCCAACTCCATATGCCCCCTCCACAGGACTTGCCCAAAGAACTTTCTACTTAAAGACTTTGTTCCTTTTTTTATTGTAAATTTTACTGTCATTTCTTCTTTCTTTACTTTTTTTTTTTTAACGTTTCTTGGCTACTGTTGTTGACAGGAGAGTTGCCCTGACATGAACCCTTAGGGCTGAAGAGGCTGTGGACACACACCTCCAACTCCATATGCCCCCTCCACAGGACTTGCCCAAAGAACTTTCTACTTAAAGACTTTGTTCCTTTTTTTATTGTAAATTTTACTGTCATTTCTTCTTTCTTTACTTTTTTTTTTTTAACGTTTCCTGCAGGGCACATGTGCTCGCTCACCAGAGAAAGAGAGACAGAAAGGGAAAGTGAGAAATCATCGGGAACCAGCAGTTAGCGTAATGGCTATATCGCTGGACTCCCATGTAGTCGACCGCGGTTCGCATCCCGGACCCGGTGGCTTAAAACTCATGCTGGGCGCATGTGCGTGCATGCCCAAGATCCAGAGAGGAGAATGGAGGAGAAGGGATTGTGGTGTGGCCATCCCCCCGGGGGGTGTATATCCCTAGGTGTGGGGATTGCCGAGTTGTGTGGTAACTCTGTTTAACTTTTTGAGGAACTGCCAGACTGATCCATAGTGGCTACCCCATTCCATATGCTCACCAACGGGGTGTGAGTTGCACTTTCTCCATAACATTACCACTTATTATCCATTTTTCTTACAACAGTCATTATACTAAAAATAGTTTCTTGTGATTTTGATTGGGTTTTCTCTAACAATGAATGACATTTTGAATCTTTTCATGTGCTTATTGGTCATTTGTATATCTTTGGAGAAATGTCTATTTGGATCCTTTGCCTATTTTTTTTTTAAAAGAGTTATTTTATTTAAGTTTATTTATTTAGTTAGTTATTTTTTACATTTGACCAGAGAGGGACAGAGAGAGAGAGAGGGAAAGTGAGAAAGCAAGCTGCCAGGTCAGGGACTCGAACTGTGGTTGAACATGTGAGAGCCCAGCTCCTTTAACCACCATGCCACCTGCCAGCACCCCCTCACCCCCCGCATGATTTTCAAGCCACCAAGTCCAGGACTTGATCCAAGCAGCCAGCCTCATGGGATCTAGCACCTTAATCTCCGTGCCACCTGCTAAACTGTCTTTTCTTTTTCTAATTACATATTGAATGTTCATTATTTTATTATTATTTTTAATATTTGCTATAGTGGAGCCAGCAAGTTGGCATGGTGGTTAAGGGCACTGGACTCCCATGTGGCCGATCATGGTTCAAGTCCTGGATCTGGTGGTTTGCTTTGTCACTTTCCCTCTCTCTCGCTCTGTCTCTCTCTGATCAAATAGGAAAATAATACTACTAATAAAGTTAAATAAAAATAATTCTTTAAAAAAATTTACTCTAGGGTACATGCACTCACCAGAGAGAGAGAGCGAAAGAGAAAGTGAGAAAGCAAGCCACCAGGTCTGGGACTCAAACCACAGTCAGCCATGTGGGAGTCCAGCGCCTTAACTACCATACTACCTGCTGACCCCTAGCCTGTAATTTATTTATTTATTTTTAAATAACTATTTTATTTAACTTTCTTTATTTATTTAGTCATTCATTCATTCAGAGGGACAGAGAGACAGAGACAGAGAGAAAGCAAGCTGCCAGTTCCAGGAATCAAACCCCACAGTCAGATATGTGGGACTCCGACACTTTTTTTTTTTGAGAGGTTTTTGCCATCGGGCTCATGTGTTGCCCAGAAAGACAGAGAAAGACAGACAGAAAGTGAGAAATCCCCCCTGGGACGCGGCGAGATGGCTATGCTGCACCCTTCTCCTCCATTCTCCTCTCGGGATTTTGGGCACACACACTCCTGTGTGCAACTGGAGTGATTTTCAAGCTATCAGGTCTAGGACTCGAACCCCACAGTCAGCTATGTCAGATCTAGCACCTTAACCTCCACACCATCTGTTGGCCCCTATATACACTCCTATATCTGTTAACCAAGTTGTCGCCATCCCTCCCATCTCTCTCCTCTTTCCAGCTTCTGGTACCCACCATTACACTCTCTCTTTCTGTCTAATTGAATCGTTGAACTGCTCATGCCCTGGAATACGTGGTATCTGTCTTTCAGTGCCTGACTTATTTAGCACCATCTCCTCTAGGTTCATCCATTTTGCCTCCAATGACAGAAATATATCCTTTGTTTAAAAATGTTTTAAATTAGGGCTGACAGGTGGTGTGGTGGTTAGTGTGCTGGACTCCCACATGGCTGTGGTTCGAGTCCCGGACCTGATGGCTTGCTCTCTCACTTTCCCTCTCTCTTTCTTTCTTTCTCTCTTTCTTTCTTTCTTTCTTTCTTTCTTTCTCTTTCTGTCATGTATACTGAAATGCAATGGAAGAAGGAAGGGAGAGCAGGTGTATTTGTTTATGAGATAATGTCCCTCAAGGACTCAGTTGAGAAGTTTGACTGGTCAACCACGGTTTGAGTCCCAGACCTGGTGGCTTGCTTTCTCACTTTCTCTCTCTCTTTCTGTGTGTCCGTCTCTGGTCAAATGAAAATAAATGAATTAATAAATAAAATTAAATAAAAAATAATTCTTAAAAAATGTTTAAAATTGAGTCAGCCAATGGTGCAGTTGTTAAGGTAGCTGGATCTCATACGGCCAAATGAAAAGTTCAAATTCCAGACCCAGAGGCTTGAAAAACATGAAGGGTGCCTGTGCGTGCATGCCCCAATTCCCTAGAGTTTGAGAATGGAGGTGAAGGGACTGAGGCATCATGACCATTCCCCCTGGGGGATACTTTCTCTCTTTCTGTCTCTCTCTGGTGAGCTCACATATCCTATTAAAACTAAAAAGAGAGGGAACCAGCAGTTAGCGTAATGGCTATGTCGCTGGACTCCCACGTAGTCGACCGCGGTTCGCGTCCCGGACCAGGTGGCTTAAAACTCACGCCGGGCGCGTGTGTGTGCGTGCCCAAGATCCCGAGAGGAGAATGGAGGAGAAGGGATTGTGGCGTGACCATCCCCCCTGGGGGGGTGATTTCTCGCTTTCTGTCTCTATGTCTCTCTCTGTCTGTCTGGCGAGCGCACGCGCCCTATAGCGAAAATCTCTCTCAAAAAAAAAAAAAACAAAAACTAAAAACTAAAAAGAGAAACAATATGGGAATGGACCTGGCAGCTTCCTTTCTCATTTTCTTTCTTTCTCGCTGTCCCTCTCTGGTCAAATTAAAATAAATAAATAAATAAGTTAAATAAAATAAATAAAAATAGAAACAACAAAGCAAAAGATATGCCAAGCTGTGTGTGAGTGTGCCCAAAATCCAGAGGATGAAGAAATAGAGGAGAAGGAATTGCATGTAACCATGTCCCATTGGGTGGTGTTTTGTCCTTCTTCCTTTCTCTCACTCTCTCTCTCTTCCTCTCTGTCTCTCTCTGGTGAGTGCATGCACTGTCCAGCAATTAAAGATAGATGATGGGGCCACAGGTGTGTGGCAGTTATGGTGCTGGACTCTCACATGGCCAATTGCGATTCAAGTCTTGGACCTGGCAGCTTGCTTTCTCACTTTCTCTTTTACTATCTCTGTCTCTCTAGTGAATGGAAATAATAACTAATTAAATACAATTTTTTTTTAAGAATTATTTTATTTAGGGGCTCACAGGTGGTTTGGTGGTTAAGGGTGCTGAACTCCCACATGGCCAACTGCAGTTTGAGTCCCGAACCTGGCAGCTTGTTTTGTCACTTTCTCTCTCTGTCCCTCTCTGGTCAAATTAAAATAAATAGGTTTCAAAACAATTTTAAAAGAAAATTATTTTATTTTACTTTATTTACCCATTTATTTATTTTAGTTTGACCAGAGAGGGATAGAGAGAGAAAGTGAGAAAGCAAGCTGCCAGGTCCCGGGACTGGAACCACAGTTGGTCATGTGGGAGTCCAGTGCCCTTAACCACCACGCTACCTGCTGGCTCTAAATTAATTAATTTTTATTTTTTGGAGAGTTTTATGCTATAGGGCATGTATGCTCGCCAGAAAGACAGAGAGAGACAGAGAGACAAAAAGTGAGAAGTCACCCCCTGGAGGGATGGTCACGCTGCAATCCCTTCTCCTCCGTTCTCCTCTCGGGATCTTGGGCACGCATGCACACGCGCCCGGTGTGAGTTTAGCTGCAGTTGACTACATGGGAGGTCCAGTGACATAGCCATTACACCAACTGTTGGACCCACCGAATTAATTCATTTTTTTAAAGAATTATTTTATTTTATTATTTATTTATTTAAATTTGACTAGAAAGGGACAGAGAGAGAGAGAAGGTAAGCCACCAGGTCCAGGACTCAAACCATGGCCAGCCACGTGAGAGTGCTAGCTCCCTTAACCACCATGTCACCTGCTGGCTCCAATGAATTAATTTAAATAAATAATTATTTAAAAATAAAACGAAGATAGATGATGATTGAGGCTGGTAGGTGGTGTGGTAGTTAAGGCACTGGACTGCTACATGGTTGAGCGCAGTTCTAGTTCTGGACATGGTTGGTGGTTTGCCTTCTCACTTTCTCTCTCTCTCTCTTTGTCTCTCTCTGGTGAGTGCATGTACCCTATAGCAAATTTAAAATAATAAAGTTAAAAGATAATTCTATATATAAAAAAAAGGATAGATAATAATAGATAAACAGATGTTAGGTAGATAGGTTAGTCAAAGAGGCTTCGCAACATGGTTCCCACTGAGAAGTTTCCTGAGGGCGCCCTTGAGCTCTTGGTTCCTTAAGCTGTAGATAAAGGGGTTCAGCATGGGGGTGACCAGTGTGTACATCACAGTGGCTGCCATGTCTCTCTGGGTGGTATGTGTGGATGCGGGGTTGAAGTAGACCCCAATGATCGTCCCATAGAAGAGAGACACAACACACAAGTGAGAGCCGCAGGTGGAGAAGGCCTTCCACTTTCCCCGGGCTGAGGGCACGTCCCACACAGCTGCAGCAATGGGTGTGTAAGAGGCCACGATGCCCGTGAAAGGGATCAGGACCACCGAGCTCCCAAGGATCAACACCAGCATCTCGTTGACTTGGGTGTTGGAGCAGGAGAGCTTGATCAATGTGTTGAGGTCACAGAAGAAGTGAGGGATTCTATTGGTGCAAAATGACAAGCGAGCCACCAGGACCGTGTGGACTGTGGATATGAGGTTGGCTGAGATCCAAGTTCCCGCCACCAGCAAGGCACACCGAAGGGCATTCATGATTGTCATGTAGTGCAGTGGACGGCAGATGGCCACGTAGCGATCGTAAGCCATGGCAGACAGGAGGATGCTGTCGGCTCCCCCGAAGGCAATGAAGAAATACATCTGGGCCAGGCAAGCTGAGGAGGAGATTGTGGCGCGTCCACATAGGTGGTTCACCAGCATGTTGGGGATGGTGGTAGAGGAGAAGCAGATGTCCAGGAGAGACAGGTTGCTGAGGAAGAAGTACATGGGACTGTGGAGGTGAGGGTCTGAGACAACGGCCAGGATGGTGAGCAGGTTACCCAGACACCCAGTCAGATACAGGCCAAAGGTCAGACCAAAGAGCACCTGCCGCTGCTGGGACTGATCAGAGAGGCCAAGGAGGATGAATTCAGAGACATGGGTCTCATTATCCATGTCGAGACAGTCCTGAGGACAAAAACAAGGGTGTCTAGAGTGAGAGGATTCCCAGGGAGGCAAAGGATCACCTGGTTGCTGTTCTTCCCACTATCAGATTAAGCTCACTTAACCTGAGCCTGAAATTCCTCCTCCTCCTCTTCCTTTTTTTTTTTTTAGAGAAGTGTGTTTTTGTTTGTTTGTTTGTTTGTTTGTTTGTTTGTTTTAGAGATTTTTGCTATAGGGCGCGTGTGCTCGCTAGAAAGACAGAGAGACAGACAGCATGAGTTTTAAGCCACCGGGTCCGGGACTCGAACCGCTGTCAATTACATGGGAGTCCAGCGACATAGCCATTACGCCAACTACTGGTCCCTATTACTATTTTTTTATTTTGACCAGAGAGAGAGAGGGGGAAAGTGAGAAAGCAAGCCAACAGGTCTGAAACTCGAACCACAGTCGATCATGTGGGAGTCTCAACAACACTCTAACCACCATGCCACCTGCCAGTCCCCAGATTGGCTGTCTGCAGGGATGCTTATCCTGAATCCTGTCTACAAAGTCTGGCAGAGGGCTTCCCAAACCTGGCACTACTGACTTGTGGAGCTGAATCTTTTTTCCTTTTTTATTTTTTTTTTTTTTAAGAATTATTTTATTTAACTTAGTGTTTAATTCTTTTTCTTTTTTTAAAAAAGAATTATTTTTATTTAACTTTATTTATTTATTTGTTTAATTTGACCAGAGAGGTACAGAGTGAGAGTAAAAGAGAGATAAGTGAGAAAGAAAGCTGCCAGGTCCAGGACTTGAACCTCGGTCAGCCATGTGGGAGTCCAGCACCCTTAACCACCACGCCACCTGCCGGCCCCTATTTTTCTTTTTTTAAGTTCCTTCTGCCTGGAGGTTTTTCCTCCTCGCCTATTGAGAGCCCTGGACTGACTCTATGATCTGGTGGTTACGGAAGCTGGATCCCACTTGGCCAACTATGCAGCTGTAATCTCAGTCTAGTGGCTCAGTCACACCACAATCTCCTTCATTCAGTTCTCCAACCCACCAGGATCCTGGGTGTATGCTCACATGCCCAGTATATTTTTTTTTTTGAGAGAGAGAGATTTTTGCTAGAGGGCGCATATGCTCACCAGAGAGACAGAGAGAGACTGAGAACTAGAAAACGAGAAATCACACCTCAGGGGGATGGCCACAACACAATCCCATCTCTTCTCCTCTCAGGATTTTGGGCATATACACACATGTGCCCAGCATGGTTTCCAAGCTGCTGGGTCTGGAACTCGAACTGTGGTTGGCATGTGGGAGTCCAGCACCTTAACTACTACATCAACCGCTGGCCCCAACTCAATGCTGTTTGACATGTTATTTTTATCTATGTATATATGAATTTTGTTCATGACAGAGCATGTGTGTGCGTATGAAAGAGAAACAGAACATATGAAAGAAACACTCTCCAAAGGACCTAGTCACATCAGGATCCTAGGCGTACATGTACCTGTTTCACACCAACCGTGTCAGGGACTCGAACTGCCATCAGCATGTGTCTACCTGGAGCTGAGGCATTCTTTACAGTGGAGGGTGCTCTGTGCCTTACAGGATGTTCAGCAGCACCCAGGCTACGACTGATTAGATGCCAGCAGCACCTCTTCCACCCTAGCTTCAAGAAGCAAGACACATCTTGAAGTTTGTGTCAAAAATTGCACCCATGGGCAAGGACCAGCAGTTGGTGTAATGGTTATGTCACTGGACTCCCATGTAGTTGACCACAGTTCGAGTCCCAGACCCAGTGACTTAAACTCACGCCAGGCGCGTGTGCGTGCGTGTCCAAGATCCCAAGAGGAGAAAGGAAGGGAAGGGATTGCAGTGTGACCATCCCCCCGGGGGGTGATTTCTCGCTTTCTGTCTCTCTGTCTCTCTCTGTCTCTGTCTCTCTCTGTCTTTCTGGCGAGTGCACATGCCCTATAGCAAAGACCTCTTTTTTTAAAAAAAAAATTTGTACCCATGGGACCAGTGGCGTGGTGGTTAAAGCGCTGGATACTCCCACATGACCGACCACAGTTTGGGATCCCTGACCTGGTAGCTTGGTTTCTTGCTTCCCTCTCTCTCTCTCCTTCTTGTTTTCTCTCTGTGTCTTTCTCTCTGTCCAATTAAAATAAATGAATGAAATTAAATAATTTTTTAAAAAAATTGGACCCAGTTGAGAACTGCTGATTTAGGTAAATCCTCTTGCTCTTTCCTCCCTCAGCACTTGCATGAATCCTCAACAGGATGATGGCGTTTTATTTCACACGAATCCCACAGCAGTCCTTGAGTCACACTTGATACACAGCATCCTATTTAACCCTTGATGACCCTATGATGCAGTCGGCAAAGTTTCAAAATTTAACTCTTTTTTTTTTTTTAAGAAAAGAATTATTTTGGGCCCAGCAGTTGGCATAATGATTATGTTGTTGGACTCCCACATAGTCCACCACAGTTCAAGTCCTGGACCTAGCGGCTTAAAACTCACACTGGGTGCATGTGTATGTGTGTCCAAGATCATGAAAGGAGAATGAAGAAGGGACTGAGGCATAGCCATCCCCCTAGAAGGTGATTTCTCATTTTCTGTCTCCCCCAAACCCAAAGGCCCAAAAAAAAAAAATCCCCTTTAAAAAAAAAAAAAAAAAAAGGTACCAGCAGATGGCATAATGGTTCACTGAACTCCCATGTAGTTGACCTCAGTTGAAGTCCTGGACCCAGCAGCTTGAAACTCGTGCCAGGCACATGTGCATGTCCAGAATCCAAAGAGGAGATGGGACCAGCAGGTGACATAGTGGTTAAGGTGCTGGACACTCCCACATGACCAACCATGGTTCAGGTCCTGGACCTAGTGGCTTGCTTTCTCACTTTCTCTCTGTCTGTCTGTCTGTCTCTTTCTCTTCTCTCTCTTTCTCTGTGTGTATCTTTCTCTGGTTGAATTAAAATAAATGAATGAATAAATAAAGTTAAATAAATAATTACTTAAAAGAGGAGAATGGAGGAGAAGGGACTACAGTGTGGTCATCCCCCCAGAGGGTGATTCCTCATTTTCTCTCTAGCAAACACATGCACCCTATAGCAAAAATCTCTCTCTCTCTAAAAAAAAAAGAGAATTCTTTTATTTATTTATTATTTTTCATTTGATCAGAGGGAGACAGAGAGGGAAAGTGAGAAGGCAAGCTTCCAGGATTAGGACTCAAAACATGGTTGGCCATGTGGGAACCTAGCACCTTAATCACCATGCCACCTGCCAAAAAAAATGTGTTGATAATTATTCTATGGAACAGAGAGTCAGCCCAAGGGGCTGGCAGATGGCATGGTGACTAAGGGCTGGACTCCCACATGGCCAACCACAGTTCAAGTCCCGGACCTGGTGGCTTGCTTTCTCACTTTCTCTCTCACTTTGTTCCTCTCTAGTCAAATTAAAATAAATAAATAAATTGAAAAAGTTAAATAATTCTTTTTTTTTTTTTTTTGAGAGAGAGGTTTTTGCTATAGGGTGCATGTGCTCATCAGGAAGACAGAGAGAGACAGAGAGATAGAAAGCGAGAAATCACCCCCCCGGGGGGGGAGGTCATGCCGCAATCCCTTCTCCTCGATTCTCCTCTTGGAATCTTGGGCATGCACGCACACACGCCTGGTGTGAGTTTAAGCCACTGGGTCCAGGACTCGAACCGTGGTCGGCTCCATGGGTGTTCAGCGACATACCCATTACACTAATTGCTGGTCTCTAGTCAAATTAAAATAAATAAATAAATGGAAAAAGTTAAATAAGTCTTAAAAAAAAAAGTCAGCCCAGGTTCTATTTTCTCTCCTTTTTAAAAGAATTATATATTTTATTTATTATTATTAATTTGCTGTAGGGCATGTGCGCTCACCAGAGAGAGAGCATGCCGCCAGGTTCAGGATTCGAACTAAGGTCAGCTGTGTGGGAGCCCAGTGCTTCAACCACCATGCTACCTGCTGGCCCCAAGGCTCTATTCTTTTCACCAGTACTTGATCCTGACCCCATAGGCTCTGATGGCTGAGGCATCCACAACCCTCATGGGAGAAATGAGCAGAGAGCTCACCAGTGCTGAGGGGGCAGCTCCAAGAAATCTTCCCTAAGATCAGCTCTCCTGCAGCTTGTCTTTCTGATATACTTAGTTGACCCGAGGCTACTGGGCTTCCATCATATCCCAGGGCCTATCAGTTCCCGGTATGGGTTTCTAGGAGTCTTGGGCTGCCTGCTGTCTTACCTTGTTTTGGGACTGCAGGACAGGAGCATGTTTTCTCAGGGAGCGTGGAACAGAAGCCCCACAGGCAGGTTTATACCTGACTCTGTGGTCTCCGGGGTATGATTCCCAGAGAATGATGTTAGAGCAAATACAATTAGCTTGTCCTAGTGGATCTTTTGAACCTAGAGCTCCTAGGGGAAAGACTTTGTCCCAAGAGCCTGGGATTTTTTTTTTCTTTTCTTTTTTTTTTTAGTTTTAGTTTAGGGCACACGTGCTCACCAGAGAAAATTAAAGAAAGGTGGAAAGCAAGAGGGACCAGCAGTTGGCATAATGGCTATGTTGCTGGACTACCATGGAGTCGACCACAATTCGCGTCTTGGACCCGGTGGCTTAAACTCATGCCTGGCTCGTGTGCATGTGTGCCTAAAATCCCAAGAGGAGAATGGAGAAGGGATTGCAGTGTGGCCATCCCCCATGGGGGGTGATTTCTGTCTTTCTCTGTCTCTCTGGTGAGCGCACGCACCCTATAGCAAAAACCTGTCAAAAAAAAAAAAATGAGAAAAGCCCCCCAAGGGGGGATGGCCACATCACAATCCCTTCTCCTCCATTCTCCAGTAAGGATGATTTGGGGCACACCCACATAGGTGCCAGCATGATTTTCAAGCTTCCAGGCCCAGGACTCAAACCATGAAGTCGGCCATGTGGTGTCAGTGCCTTAAACACCAAGCTACCTGCTGGCCCAAGCCAGGTTTTCATTTAGACCTCTCTTGGTTGACAAAGGGATAGCACAGAATCCAATTTTTTCCATGAAGTAACTTTAATATATTTTATCAAAAGTAATGGTTAGGGACCAGAAGTTGGCATAATAGCTATGTTGCTGGACTGTAGGAGACCGCAGTATGAGTCCCTGACCTGGTGGCTTAAACTCATGCCAGGCACATGTGCGTGCTTGCCCAGGGTCCTGAGAGGAGAATGGGGAAGGAATTGTGGGTGTGACCATTCCCCTTGGGGAGTGATTTCTCACTTTCTGTCTCTCTATCACTCTCTGTCTTTCTGGTAAGCCCACACACCCTACAACAAAAACCTATCAAAAAAAAAAAAAAAAAAAGTAATGGTTATGGAGCCAGCAGTTAGAGTAGTGGTTAAGGTGCTAGACTTCCACGTGGCTGACACCGAAGTTTGAGTCCCAGACCTGGTGGCTTGAAATATGCTGGGTCCTGGGGACCAGCAGGTGACATGGTGGTTAAGGTTCTGGACACTCCGACGTGATCACTTTTTTTTTCTCTCTCTCTCTTTCTGTCTCTCTCTGGTCAAATTAAAAAATAAATGAATAAAAAAATTAATTAAAGAAATATTAAAAAAAAAAAGAGAGAGATATGCTGGGTCCTGGGACCAGCAGTTAGCGTAATGGCTAAATTGCTGAACTCCCATGTAGCTGATCGTGGTTTGAGTCCCGGACCTGGTGGCTTAAACTCACGCCGGGCGCGTGTGCGTGCGTGCTCAAGATACCGAGAGGAGAATGGAGGAGAAGGGATTGTGGTGTGGCCATCCCCCCTGGGGGGTGATTTCTTGGTTTCTGTCTCTCTGTCTCTCTCTTTTTGGCAAGCACACGTGCCCTATAGCAAAAACCTCTCAAAAAAAAATATGCTGGGTCCCCACACGTGTGTGCCCAACATCTTGACAGAATAAAGAAGAGATTGTGGTGTGGACATTCCCCCTGGGAGGGTAATTTCTCACTGTCTCTCCAGTGAGCACACACACCCTATAGCAAAAAAAATCTCTCAAAAGTAAAATAAAATAATGGCTATAATGTTGCTAAGTATTTATCATGTGGCTGGAGCTCTGTTAAGTTTGAACATCTTATTTATTTTTTTTTTTTAAGAGAGATTTATACCTTAGGTTGCATGCACTTGCTGGAGAAACAGAGAGAGACAGAGAGATGGAAAGTGAGAAATCATCCCCCAGAGGAGATGGTCATGCCACAATGCCTTCTCCTCCCTTATCCTCTTGGGATTTTTGCATATGCATGCACACATGCCCTACGTGAGTTTCAAGCCACTGGGTCCGTAGTTGGCCACGTGGGAGTCCAGCGATGTAACCACTATGCCATCCACTGATCCCAAGTTTGCAATGCCTTATAACCAGTGGTCTCCAGCCAAATGATGTATAGAGATGGAATGTTTAAAAAATAATAAGAATAGGGGGCTGGACTCCCATGTGGCGGACCATGGTTCAAGTGCTGGACCTGGCGGTTTCCTTTTTCACCTACCTCACTCTCTCTCTCAGTCTGTCCCTCTCTTATCAAATGACAATAAGTAAAGTTAAATAATTATTTAAAACAAAACAAAATAATAATTTAAAAAATTTTAAATGTTTATTTTTTAAAATCATTAAATTCTGGGGCTGGCAGGTGGCATGGTGGTTTAAGGGCACTGGACTCTCACAAGGCATATGATGGTTCGAGTCCCAGACTTGGTAGCTTGCTTCTTCACTTTCCCTCCCTCCCTCCCTCCCTCTCTCTCTGTCTGTCTCTTTATCCCTCTATGGTCAAAATAAATAAAGTTAAATAAAATAATTCTTTAAAACAAAATTAAATCCTAGGGGCCAGCAGGTAGCATGGTGGTTAAGGCTCTGGACTCCCACATGATTGACCACGGTTTGAGTCCCAGATCTGGTGGTTTGCTTTCTCAACTTCCTTCTTTCTCCTTCTCTGTCACTTTCTGGTCAAATAAAAATAAACAAATAATAATGAATGAAAGTAAATAATTCTAAAAAAAAAAAAATTAAATCCTGAAAAAAAAAAAACAAACAACAAACAGTGGTCTCCAACTTTTCTGGCACCAGGGATTTGCCTTGTAGAAGACAAATTATCCACAAATGAGGGGGACATAGTAGTGGTCCCAGGATGACCCATTTCCACCACAGTCATGTTGCAATATACAATAAAACAATCACACAATGGGGCTCTGGCTCCCATGAGATTCCAGTTCTGCTGCTGTTCTGACAAGAAGCTCAGGCAGCAAAGCCAGCAAGGGTGAGTGGCAGCAGACAGCTCAAACCTGGCTCACTTGCCACTCACCCTCCCTGCACAGCTGACATGAAGATCTAGGGTTCAAATCTAGATGTTCTTGGGTCAGCAGGTAGTGTGATGGTTAAGGCCGTCACACTCCCACATGGCCAACTGTGGTTCGAGTCCTGGACCTGGTGGCTTCCTTTCTCACTTTCTATCTCCCTCTCGTCAAATTAAAAATAATAATGGAGAACCAGCAGATGGCACTGGACTCCCACATAGTTGACCACGGTTCATTTCCCAGACCTAGTGGCTTAAAACTCATGCTGGGTACATGTGTGTGGGTGCCTAATCCTGAGAGGAAGGAGAAGGGATTGCAGTGTGGCCATCCCTACAGAGGGTGACTTCTCACTTTCCCTCTCACTGTCTCTCTCTCTCTCTCTGGCAAGTACACTTGTGTCTGTTTGGTGAGCGCACGCACCCTATAGCAAAAAACCCTTAAAAAAAAAAAAAAAAAAAAAAGAGCCAGGGGCTGGCAGGTGGTGTGTTGGTTAAGGGCACTGGACTCCCACATGGCTGACCATGGTTTGAGTCCCGGACCTGGTAGGTTGCTTTCTCATTTTCCCTCTCTCTGGTCAAATTAAAATAAATCAATAAAGTAAATAAAATTATTTTTAAAAAAAGTCATAAATATAGGGACCAGAACTTGGCATAGTGGCTATGTTGCTGGACTTCCACAGTTTGAGTTCCGGACCCAGTGGTTTAAACTTACACCAGGCACATGTGTGTGCATGCCCAGGATCCCAAGAGAATGGAGAAGAGATTGTGGTGTAGCCATCCCCCCTGGGGGGGTGATTTCTCACTTTCTCTCTCTCATGTAAGTACACATGCCCTAAAGCAAAAACATATCCTTAAAAAAAGAAAGCCATAAATATATACTAATAAATTTTTAAAAAGAGCTGGAGTCAGCAGGTGCCATAGAGGTTAAGGCACTGGGCTCCCACATGGCCAAACAACGTTCGAGTCCTGGACCTGGCTGCTTGAGTATCATACTGGGCGCATGTGCATGCATGCTCCAGATCCCAGAATGGAAAAGAAGGGATTCCAGTGTGGCCATCATCTTGAGGGGAAGATTTTACTTTCTCTTTCCTGGCTCCCTCTCTTTAGTGAGCTCATACACCTTACAACAAAAATCTTTAAAAATAAAACTACCAGTTTAACTATTTAAAGGAGTGAAGAAAATAGGGAGGGAAGGAAGGAGAGAAATGAGGGGAAAAGGAGGAAAGAAAGGGGATAGAGGTAGGAGGATAGGGAGAAGACAGACAGGAAGGGAAGGTAAGCAGGGTGGTGTCCCCCCACTACAACCATCATAGAAACAGGAAATTTGGGAGTAGAAGGGAGTTTCCTGACTAAGGTCTTCATGACATTATTCATCTAATTTCTTTCTGAAGCTGAACCCTAATTACTGCATAAATACTGCTCCCTCTAGAGCAGTCTAATAGGGGACCAGCAGTTAGCATAAAGGCTGTCGCTGAACTCCCATGTAGTCGACTGTGGTTTGAGTCTTGGACCCAGTAGCTTAAACTCACACCAGGCGCGTGTCCATGAGTGCCCACGATCCTGAGAGAACAGAGAAGGGATTGCCACGTGGCCATCCCCCCGGGGGGTGATTTCTTGCTTTCTGTCTCTCTCTCTCTTTCTGGCGAGTGCACATGTCCTATATCAAAAATCTCTTTAATAATAATAATAAAGGCAGTTTCATGGACCCAGATTGAATCCATCTGTGGCTCCCTCATGTCCCTCAAGTATTCACATGAATTTGTCTTCCAGGATATCTTGGGATTTATATCCAGGATGGTCTGTGATATCTTAGGTCAGGAACAACTTCATTTTGTTTGCCTCTGTTCTCCTTTATGTTATACAACCCACTTATTGAAGGCACACCAAGAATATTATACACTGCTATAAATACTAGAGGTCTTGCATTAACCCTGAGAAATCCACAGCCCAGAATCCATAGACATTGTCTCACCCACGACAAGAAAAGGTTCACTTTTTTTTTTCTTAAGAATTGTTTTATTTAACTTATTTTAATTTGTACAAAGAGGGACAAAGTATGGGGTGGGGGCAAAAGAGCAAGCCCCCCAAGTCCTGAAACTTGAACTGAGGTTAGCCATGTGGGACTCCAGTGCCCTTAACAACCACACCTGCTGGCCCCAACAGCTTCACTTTCTTTCTGGGACATGGCTAAAGGCTTCCTGAAGGACTCTTGGGGAACGTTTCATAGAACCAAATATAACACTGTTTAATTTAGTCTCACAAACATGACTTAACTGTGGGAAATGTCTACCCAGAAAAAGGAGTAGAAAAGCTAATTTGAGAGACCAGACATGTGCTGAGGAGGTAACATTTGGGATGAGACACAGAATAATGCATTACTATGAAAAGTCAGAGAACAGGGCCAGCAGATGGTGTGGAGGTTAAGGGGCTGGATGCCACATGGCCTTCTGTACAGTTGGAGTCTCAGACCAGTAGCTTGAAAAACACACCAGGTGCAGGTACATGTGCACGTGTGCTTAAAATCTCAAGAAGGGAGAAGGGATTGTAGCAGGACTAGCAGTTAGCATAATGGCTATGTTGCTGGATTCCCATGTAGTCAACTGCAGTTTCAGTCCTGGACCCAGTGGCTTAAACTTATGCTGGGTACGTGTGCGTGCAAACCCAAGATCCCGGGAGGAGAATGGAGAACAGATCGCAGCATGACCATCCCCCCTGGGGAGTGATTTCTCGCTTTCTGTCTCTATCTTTCTGGTGAGTGCATGCGCCCTATAGCAAAAACCTCTCCAAAAAAAAAGAGAAAGGATTGTAGCATGGCCATTCCCCCTGTGGGGTGTTTTCTAACTTTTCCCACTCCCCACTTCACAGAATCCCTCAAGTGGGCGCACACACACTCTATAGCAAAAACTAAAAAACAAACAAAAAAATAGTCTCTAACCAATGCATGTAGGAACAGAGGGGCTAACAGCCCATAGAGCAACATGACTAAGTTTTCTTTTTTTCCTTTTTTTGGAGAAGTTTTTGCTATAAGGTATGTGCGCTCACCAGAAAGACAAAGACAGAGAGACGAAAAGCAAGAAATCACCCCCAGGGGGCATGGCCACGCCACAATCCCTTCTCCTCCATTCTCCTCTCAGGATCTTGGGCACACACACACGCGTGCCGAGCATGAGTTTTAAGCCACTGGGTCCAGGACTCAAACCATGGTTGACTACATGGGAGTCCAGTGACATAGCCATTACACTAACTGCTGGTCCCTGAGTTCTTTCATGCATTTGTAAAAAGCCTAGATGAAGGCTCTCCCATATAACTTACATTCATAGGGTTTCACTTCAGTGTGAGATGTTTCATGGATTCACATAAAACTGAGACTACTGAAGGCTTTCCCACACTTCTTACGTTTATATGGTTTCTCTGCAGTGTGAGTTCTTTCATGCTGATGAAAAAAATTGGGACAATCAAAGGCTTTCCCACATTCCTTACATTCATAGAGTCCATCTCCAGTGTGCACTATCCTATGTCTTGGAAAATGTGTGAAGTGAATATTTTCCCACATTCCTTACATTCATAGGGTTTCTCTCCACTGTTGAGTTTTTTCATGCCTTAGAAGGTACATGGATAAGCTGAAGGCTTTTCTACACTCTTTACATACATATGGTTTTTCTCCCATATGGCTTGCTTTATGTTCTTGAAAGGTCCTGCAACAACCAGATTTTTCCACATTCTTCACATTCACTGGGTTTCTCCCCAGTGTGAATTCTTAAGTAGTTTCAAAAAGACTTTACAGGGAACCAGCAGTTAGCATAATGGCTATGTCACTGGACTCCCACGTAGTCAACCGCGGTTCGTGTCCCAGACCCGGTGGCTTAGAACTCACACCAGGCGCGTGTGCGTGCGTGCCCAAGATCCCGAGAGGAGAATGGAAGAGAAGGGATTGCGGTGTGACCATCCCCCCTGGGGGTGATTTCTTGCTTTCTGTCTCTATGTCTCTGTCTGTCTGGCGAGTGCACGCGCCCTATAGTGAAAACCTCTCAAAAAAAAAGAAAAAGACTTTACAGTAGTTTGTTTTTCCATATGCTTTACATTCATAGGATTTCTCCTCACTATGTGTTCTTTCATGGCTTTGTAAAGAATTTAGATAAGGGAAGCCTTTTCCATGTTGGTTACATTCATAAGGTTTCTCTCCACTATGAAGTCTTCCATGTTTTCGCAAGCTTGTAGTAAAGGCTTTCCCACATTCCTTATATTCATAGGGTTTCACTCAAGTGTGAATTAGTTCATGTTTTTTAAAAGAACCACAATAAATAAAGGCTTTCCCACATTCCTTACATTCATAGGGTTTCTCTCCAGTGTGAATCCTTTCGTGGACCCGTAAGGAACTGGACATAGGGAAGGCTTTCCCACATTCCTTACATTCATAGGGTTTCTCTCCAGTGTGAATCCTTTGGTGGACACGTAAGACACTGGACACGGCAAAGGCTTTCCCACATTCCTTACATTCATAGGGTTTCTCTCCAGTGTGAATCCTTTCGTGGACCCGTAAGGAACTGGACATAGGGAAGGCTTTCCCACATTCCTTACATTCATAGGGTTTCTCTCCAGTGTGACTCCTTTCATGGATTCGAATGGCACGGCAAGAACGGAAGGCTTTCCCACATTCCTTACATTCATAGGGTTTCTCTCCAGCGTGACTCCTTTCAGGGATTTGAACAGCACTGCAATAATGAAAGGCTTTCTCACATACCTTACACTTATAGAGTTTCTCCCCGGTGTGAATTATTTCATGCATGCAAAAAGAACTGGAATAATCAAAGACTTTCCCACTCTGTTTATATTCATAGGGTTTCTCCCCAGTGTGCATTCTTTGTGCTCATAAAATGAGCTGGAATAATCAAAAGTTTTCCCATGTTCCTTACATTTATAAAGGTCCATATTAATGGCTTGACAGCATGTGTGTGCGAATGTCTGTAAGACTACTGAATGCTTTCCCACATTCCTTACATCCATACAGTTTCTCTCCAGTGTGAATTTTTGCATGGCTTCTAAGGGATGCAAAACGATTGAAAGTTCTACCACATTGCTTACATTCACATGGTTTCTCTCTAGTACAGGTTTTCTCATGTGTGCTAAATAAACCGAGATAATTGAAGGCTTTCCCACATGTTAAACACTTAAAGGCCCACCAACACTTTGCATTTTGGGGTGTCTTCTCACGGTTAAGAGAGAAATGAAATTGTCCCCACATGGCTTGCTCCGTTTACATGGCTTCTCTGCATATTCCTGAAACGCATATGGTTTCGATCCTTTGTGAGTGCTTAAGTGTCTATTAAGAGATGAAAGAACAGTAAAGCCTCTTCCACATGTACTTTCACAAGGTTTATCTTGGGTAGAGTTATCTCATTCAAGTTAGTATCTAGAATATGACTGAACATTTCTCTATATTGATCATCTTCTTTCCTTATATAGTCTCTCTACCATATGAGTTCTATAAAGAATTTTTTAAAGAATTATTTTATTTAACTTTATTTATGTATTTTTATTTGGCCAGAGGAGGAGGAGTGGGGGGGGGGGAAGCGAGAAAGCAAGTCACCAAGTCCAGGACTCAAACCATGGTCAACCATGTGGGAGTCTCCAGCACCCTTAACCACTTTGTCACCTGTTGGCCCCAAGTTCTGTAAAGAATGTTAAAAAGAAGGGCCAGCAGGTGGCATAGTGATTAAGGCACTGGACTTCCACATGACCAAACTCAATACAAGTCTCAGAACTGGCAGCTTGAAACTCACTCTAGGTTCATGTGCGTGTGTGCCCAAAATCCTGAGAGGAGAATGAATGACAAGGAACTATGAAATGGCCATCTTCCCTGAGGGATGATTTCTCACTTTCTGTCTCTCCAGTGACTGCGTGCACCTGATAGCAAAAATCTCTCTCTCAAAAAAAAAAAAATTTTTTTAATTTAAATTTTAAAAGAATATATATATATGTATATGTTATATATATTATATACATATACATATATATATATATTCTTTTTAAATTTTTTGTTATAGGGCATGTACAATCAATCGAGTGAGACAAAGAGAAAAAGTGAGAAATCACCCCCCGGATGGGATGGCCACACTACAACCCCTTCTGCTCCATTCTCTCAGGATCTTAGGCACACACATGATGCACCTGGCATGTTTTTTGGGCTGCCAGTTCCAGGACTTGAAGCACAAAGACAGCCAAGTGGGATTCTGCACTTTAACCACCATGCCACCTATGGGCTCCATACGTGGCTTCTTAATACTATTTCCTAGTCAGCTATTTGGCACACACCCAACATCTTAATCACATTTGTGTGTGTGTGTGTGTGTGTGTGTGTGTATAAAAGTTTTCTAGGAATAAGTAAATAAGTAAATCTGAAGGTGGGTGGATTTTTTGGTCTGTTTTTAAAATTTCCTAACAGGTTAAGTTTTTTTCCCAGGAAAACTGCTTTCTTTTGTGATTGTAAATTACCTTTGATGTAGGCCGAAGTTTTCATACTCATCTTCAATATTCTGGTCTTCCCATTTTTCCCCTAAAACAAGATCACAAAACCTTTGAATTTTAAGAAAATTAAAGAAAAATAACCAGGATGGGAAAAAAGAAAATGACCAGGTTGGAGATACCCTGTTAATATGCCTCATTTATTCAATCAAGTACTCCTTTTTCAAACTGGAAATCTTGGGAACAGCATGGGTGACCAGAAACACTTGCACTCTTATTATAATTGACAACATGAAGCAATGATGTTATCCTCACCTGTAGAAGCCAGATTCCACCTGACTTCCTGCATCACATCTCTGTAGAGTTTCTTCTGGGAAGGATCCAGCAGGGCCCACTCCCCCTGGGTGAAGGTCACAACCACATCTTCCAAGGCCACTGAGTCCTGCAACACCTCATATATGTGTAGAGGAAGAAGAGTGAGACTGACAGCCCTGGGGATCTACACTCAATCCATAAGTTCACATGATGTTATGGTAGACAAAATTTATGATTTTTTGTTATTTTTATTTTTAGAGAGATTTTGGCTATAGGACACATGCACTCACTGGAGAGACAGAGACAGAGAGACAGAAAGCGAGAGAGAATTCACCCCCAGAGAGGGTGGCCATGCCTCAATCCCAGCGTGAATTTTAAACCACTGGGCCCACTATTTGAACCGCAGTTGCCCCTGTGGGTGTCCAGCACCCTTAACCACCACACCACCTGCCAGCCCTAATAGTTACTCTTTTAAAAGAATTTGGGACCAGCTGGTTCAAGTCCTGGACCTGGTTGGCTTAGACTCACACCGGGCGCATGTGCGTGTGTGCCCAAAATTCCGAGAGGAGAATGGAGGAGAAGGGACTGCGGCGTGGCCACCCCCCCTGGGGGGAGATTTCTCGCTTTCTGTCTCTCTGTCTGTCTGGTGAGCACACGTGCCCTATAGCAAAAACCTCTCCAAAAAAAAAAAAAAAAAAGAATGTATCTATTTATTTATTCATTTACTTTATTTTACCAGAGAGAGAGAGAGAGAGAGAGAGAGAGAGAGAGAGGAGAGAGGGCGCGCTAGACTTCCACATGGCTGACCACAGTTCAAACCCCATACCTGGCTTGCTTTTTCTCTAACTCTGCCCCTCTCTCGTCAAATTAAAATAAATTATCTAATTAATTAATTAAAGTTAAATAAAATCATTCTTGTAAAAAATTATTTTACTTTTTATCTTTTATTTATTTATTTACTTTAATTTGACCAGAGAGGGGCCAAACGAGAGGGAGAGAAAGTGAAAAAGGAAGCTCTCACATCCAGACTCAAACTACTTTCAGCCATGTGGAAGTCCAGTGCCCTTAACCGCCATGCCACCTGCTGGCCCACAATCCAACTCCCTTAATCACTGGGCCATTCAGCCAGTCTGACAGCAGATCTTTTTTACAACTGACCACATTTCTATCGGTCTGTCTGGAGGCTTTGTTAAGCTCTCATTCACACAGGTTCTCTTTTCTGTTTCTTCCAAAGGGGGGCAATCAGAAAACTGGAAAGGAGTTGTTAGGAAATGTCGTAAAGTATTAAACAAAATTCTGCAGATGGGACCAACAGTTGGTATAATGGCTATGTTGCTGGACTCCCATGTAGTCAATCAACCGCAGTTCCAGTTGAGGACCCGGTGGCTTAAATTCAAGCCAGGTGCATGTGCGAGCGTGCATGCCCAAGATCCCAAGATGAGAATGGAGGAGAAGGGACTGTGG